CATTAAAAAGTGGAGCTGTACAAAGGAAACCGGGAGATGTAGTAACATCCTCGAAAGCAGTGAGGGAAAGATCAGATATTTACCCAAAACCACCGACCCCACAGGACTTAAGGAGCAAAAAAGGCCACAAAAGAAGACATACCGTCACGGCCTATATCAAGAAAACGCGCGGGGCGACGACACGATCCTGACAGCAAGTCAGAAAGTGAAGAGGACAGCAATAAACTACCAATTACCTTATCGAAACGAGCAACGTTAACGGACGGCGCGACGAAGACTAGCGGTGAATCTGAAAATCTAGCGGTGGATCAGAAATTCTAGCGGTGGATCTGAAATTTGTTCAGGGGAGCAGTAAAAAGAAACGAGATGGGGAAGCATAACCGGCGGCGCAGCTGAGGCGGCACGAGGAAGCGGAAAAAGACCCAACACGGAGAGCGACCCAAATACTTCTCCGGTAGAAGAAGCGGCTCTACAGAAACAAAAACCAGCGTTTCTCGCGTTTGCAGAGAAAATTGGGCGGAAACAACGCCTTGAGTCGTATAAAAATCAGAATGACAGCAGCCAGGATGAGATGGCTTCGCGTCGCAGCGGAAAAAAGCGGACGGCCGTAACCAAAAAGGGCGGGGTCATGGTCGACCAAATTTAAAAAAGGGGGAGTGGAAAGAAGAAGAGTAGTGCGTGAGCCAAGCATGTTAGAAAATTTAATACTCAAACTGAGCCCAGGTAGTTAAATGACCGACACCCAGTCTGTAACTCAATCGTCATCTCTTACTTTTAGATATTGAAAACTGTTATTTCTAATGATACTTGTTCAACAGTATCTCATCGATCAGTAATTTTCATCGCTAGTTTTCTTGTCAACATTCCAGCATTTAACAAGATCAACTGAAGATCAATTTTGAAGATCAACTGGAAACGCTGCAAACGTTGAGCGGGGTATATATTTTTTCAAGCATAGATCTTATTTACCCACAAGGCCAATTATCTTTCAGCGCCATACAAAGGCGCAGTGTAATTTTTCACTAGTAAGTGGGAAGACAACGGGTAGGTACCGTTTTAAAACGCGATTTTACGGGCTTACGACAATGCCAGCCGAGTTTCAGCGAGCAAGGGACTGCATTCTTTCCAAATTACAGCAAGCGCATGCGTTCATAGATAATTGTTTGGTATCACTAAGGGCACAGAAATAGATCATATAGTAACCAATGAGAAAAACTTGAAAAAGTTGAATAAAAAAATAATTCGTTTGCAAAATGCTAGCTTACACAAAAACAATGCGAATGCCTGGGCCACAAAATCACCACCACGGGGTAACACACTTAAGGCGGAAAATGGTACCAACTGAATCGCTAAAACCATCTCGCACGCTATCAGAGTTATAATCTTTCATGAGTTCTATCCATAGCCTACATAAATATCAGCCAAACTTTACTGAATCGTCCGCACCTCTAAGACCACTCTTGAAAATTTGAAAAAGCAGGTCGCAAATATCGTACAGCTCAGACATTTTGATATCTACAAGGAAATTTGATAAAGCAAGTGGCAAATATCGTACAGCTCAGACATTTTGATATCCACAAGGACATCAGAATAGTGAGCGACGCCAGCCACAATGGCCTAGGGGTAGTCATGGAGCAACTAGCATCCGAGGCGTGGAGGTAAATTTCGTTCGCGTCAAGGTATTCAAATGAAGCCAAAAGAAATACTCTACAAATGAGTTAGAAAAGCTAGCCGTTGTATGGGGGGCAGATTGTTTTAGCAATTTTGTATTAGGTCGAAAATTCATTGAAAACAGACCCTATGGCGCTTGTTTTTTTCTTAGACGTCAATAATAAGAGGAATAGAACCATGTTCAGTCGCCTAACACGAAAATTGGATCGACTAATTTCATTCGATTTTCAAGTTAAGCATAAACCAGGGGCCAAGACTGGCCTGGTGGACTGCTTATTGCAAAACCCAAAAAACGAAGTTATACCAATCAGCGCATGCGATAGCATGTTTAGAGTGGCTAAGATCAATTCAATACGAAACTCCCTCGGTTTTAAAACTTTTAACTGCGCCAAGTGACCAGAAAAAAAAATAAGTAGCTTTTCAATCAACTTGAAGCTATTTATTCAAGTTTTTGTCAATTAACTCGCTAGTAGAGGGCGTTGATTCATGCGCGCTTAAATTAGTCAATCACAGGCTAGAGATTTGCATGAACCAAAGGTTACGCTAAACAAACGCTAAGTCAGTGTAGTGTGGTCAGTGTTTCTACTCTTTTAGAACAAAGCTACTCGGAGCCGGAAATTTTGAAAATTTGAATCAAAACTTCAGAAAACTAGAAAGATTCTTAAAAAAACATCCGAGCTTGAACAAACTGATGATGAAATTGAGGAACTTAAAACGAGTTTGACATTGGAGGCATTTACGAAACAGACAAGAACAATCAAAACTAATGATATTCTATCGTTACCCCAGCAACAATTCCGCCGGTGTACCCTACTAGTTTATTAATGTCTTTTGTTATAGTCGATAAAAAACTTTTACCAAATTTATTTCCCTTCCCGAATTATTTAGTTTCAAATGTGATAATGTTTTTTGATTTTGAACAAAACGTCATCTGGATGGACGAGAAATTATTCAGTCAATTGAACCTTACCTCTGCTGTAAACAACAGAATTCACGCCTTCCATTATGGCAAGACAAACATATTTGCCGCAGCAAAAGACATCTGGTACCAGTAAGTGAACCGCTCGATCGCTTCAGTTGCTGGAACAGAGCCGAATGAAACAAACCCAATTAGAGTTTTGGGGCCAATTAACTAACTGAACGAAACAAAGAAATACGTACTTTTAGCAGTGCTCGCTTTTCGCGCTGACCTTCCTCAATGGTATTTAGTAGCAACCAATCGAACAAATTTCTAACTTTAAAAAAAATTACAACACCAATCACAGGGTGCCCCACAAAATTCATGTTGGCCAGGGAACTAGTTTTATGTCGCAAGATGTAAGAGCGTTTTGCAACGGTGAAAGCATAAAAATCATAAAATCGCTCGTAATTGATCAACGAGCGACGAGCTGCGTAGAGCGTAAAGTCGATAGTCTTAAAAACTCAATTTCATTTTTTCGCGAAAAAGAAAAATCCGGAACGGTTAGAAAGAGATCTCCGCACTTAATGTTTCTTAAACAATTCAACATTAAAACTTTCGCCATTCAAGGCACACCATGGGAGCTAAGCCAACACACTGCTAAGTAATTTAACAAAAAACCATCTACCCAGAACTTAAAAGGGTAAGGAAGGATAAAAACGAAAAATGCTTGTTTGGATAACATCGACCCAACGGTGCAAAATCTGTCACATCTAGCCGAGACGAGACTTGGACCTAGACTCTGACGTCAAACTTAGAAGCCACTCAATGAAAATAACGGACCAGCAAATTCTCAACCAGGAGGACGAACCAGTAGTACGCAAACCAGGGATGAAGGCTAACTAGGCACTAAGTCCCTCAGGCATACTGTACCAGCGGAGCGGGGATCAAAACTTGAATAGCTATAAATTAATAACATCAAAAGTAAAAGCGGAAATTGCTCATAAGATAACATTAAAAAGTGGAGCTGTACAAAGGAAACCGGGAGATGTAGTAACATCCTCGAAAGCAGTGAGGGAAAGATCAGATATTTACCCAAAACCACCGACCCCACAGGACTTAAGGAGCAAAAAAGGCCACAAAAGAAGACATACCGTCACGGCCTATATCAAGAAAACGCGCGGGGCGACGACACGATCCTGACAGCAAGTCAGAAAGTGAAGAGGACAGCAATAAACTACCAATTACCTTATCGAAACGAGCAACGTTAACGGACGGCGCGACGAAGACTAGCGGTGAATCTGAAAATCTAGCGGTGGATCAGAAATTCTAGCGGTGGATCTGAAATTTGTTCAGGGGAGCAGTAAAAAGAAACGAGATGGGGAAGCATAACCGGCGGCGCAGCTGAGGCGGCACGAGGAAGCGGAAAAAGACCCAACACGGAGAGCGACCCAAATACTTCTCCGGTAGAAGAAGCGGCTCTACAGAAACAAAAACCAGCGTTTCTCGCGTTTGCAGAGAAAATTGGGCGGAAACAACGCCTTGAGTCGTATAAAAATCAGAATGACAGCAGCCAGGATGAGATGGCTTCGCGTCGCAGCGGAAAAAAGCGGACGGCCGTAACCAAAAAGGGCGGGGTCATGGTCGACCAAATTTAAAAAAGGGGGAGTGGAAAGAAGAAGAGTAGTGCGTGAGCCAAGCATGTTAGAAAATTTAATACTCAAACTGAGCCCAGGTAGTTAAATGACCGACACCCAGTCTGTAACTCAATCGTCATCTCTTACTTTTAGATATTGAAAACTGTTATTTCTAATGATACTTGTTCAACAGTATCTCATCGATCAGTAATTTTCATCGCTAGTTTTCTTGTCAACATTCCAGCATTTAACAATCCACACAGTACATTTTTCATTTTAAATCCAGTTCTTAAAGTGTTTATGGTGCTAAATCAGTTCATGTACGGTTCTCGGTCTATAGTCATAAAACATCTGTCATCCTTTGGTGCCCATTTGATTCCGGCAGGTACCGACCTTCGGCGATGTGTGCAACCTCGGTTGACCTCTGTAAACACTATCTTGACAAACTTAGCAAGACTAAGTTGATTATTATTTGAATTTACAGCATAGCAAAATCACGATTTCAACAAAAGGCAAATATGAGCGATGGGGCGCAACTCAGCTCTCAAAAACTTTTGCTCTGTTTTAGGGCACTTATTTAGAAGGACAAAACAACTTTTTTTGCTTTTCGTTGTAAAATTGCTGAAGAAACGGGGTATGATTTAAGGAAAAAATATTTTAAGCCCCCTGCCTAAAACTGTTCAATAAGGAAAGTTTTCCAACTTATATCCATCACCATAAAGACTGATTGAAACGTTCAGGCCATTTGCTCAGTGAGTCATTAATCAGTTATATTTCGGTTAAACTTTTTTTAGACCAACTTGCCCTGATGGATAAGTCTAGAGTAGAGTGGGAGATGAAGTATGAGGATGGAGTGATGGAGAGGAATGTTCTAGAAGAAAAGAACAGATGGCTGGAGGGAGAGGTGGACAGTCTCACCCAGAGAATCGAACAACTCAGCAGCAAAATGGGCAATGACACAGTACAGGCGCAAAAAGTCAGTCATTAACAATCGATTAAAAATTTTGTTTATTGATAATTCAATTTTGAACGTTTCGAAATGAAGGACGATCTATTTTTTGATGAGCTAATGAAAAAACAGCTTCAAAAATTTGATCCCAAGACTTTCAACACTTAAATAACATGATGTCACGCGTATCCATTGGAACAACTTGAGCTTCTTCGGTTGCAGCGGAGTCTATTTTTACAAGGGAACGCAATATTTTTATGTTTTCATTTTGAAATGTTTTTTTTTTCAAAAATTCTGAAATCGTAGTTATAAAATTGAAGTTTGCCATTCTTAATCCTCTATGTTTTTTGCTATGAGTAATTGTCCTAAAAAACAAAAAAAATTTAGGAGTTGGAGGATCTACGTAAAGATCTGGAGTCCAAAATGTTTTCTAAAGAGAGTGAGTTGAAAGAAGAGAGAGACAGGAGAGAGAGTGAGTTGCAGATGGCCACTTTTGAGTTTGAGAAGAGGTTGCACGAAGAGAGGAGCCGATGGGAGGAGGAGATGGACAGGATACTCTCCTCCAAGACAGAACTGCAAGACTGCAAACAGGTACTGCAGAACAATTTTGCGGGCCAGCTTCAAAAAAATGGGTTTCTGCGATTCGCAGAAGATCTATGAAAGGCTATCCAGCCTATCTAATCATAGTCGGTTTCCCTTATTTCCCCACATTCGAGATTGAGTTATTTTGTTGAGCGAAGTTACTTTTCTAAGCCAGACGAAATAAACCTAATTTTTTTTTTACGAACCATACGTAAATTAGACTGTGCGATGAAAAGCTTGGAATTGTAGGAATTGCTGGAAAATTCAAGGCGAAAATTCAAGTTTGGAAAAAGAACAAGAATAGTATCTTAATGAAAAGGCACTGAAATCCTGAATAATGAACATCTTAAATTGAACATTGAAGGTACTTCAAACAACAAAAAATTAATTTTATCCGAAAATCTTTATAATTAACTGATTAAACTGAAACTTGGGGATTTTTATTATTATTTTTTTTTCTTTTGCAGCACTTTTTGGGATTTCCAATGCTTTCTTATTAAATTAGTGTTCATGCCGATTTTCAACCTCTCTTTAACAACCGCGCGGCTCCAATCTGTAAATGATTGTATTGAGTCAGTATCGAGCTTCAAGATTATAAGACTTTTTGGGATCCGACTTAACTGATATATTTATGATTTTTGCGGTAGGAGTACGAGAAGAAGATCTCCAATCTGGAATCGAACTTCGAGAAGGAGCAGAAGATTCTGATGAGTCAGATTGAGAAACTCCAAGCAGAAAGTGCCGAGAAGCTGCAGAAACTACAGGGCGACCTGCAGAAGTATATATCCAAAGTTCCAATCAATTGCAGTAGTTGAACTACGTCTTAAATAATAGTTTTATATTGAAAAAATTGCAGTGTAATAATCAAATAGATTAAACGGAAACAAGTTCAATATCTCTGATACCTAGATTTAATCAGAGAGAAGTTTTTGGTATTTTTGGAACCCGAATCACGACTAAAAGGACTTTAATATGATTGGCCTCTCGCAAGCTTTCGTTAAAGAACCCAAAATTGGACTGACGAACAAAATTCTTAAACCATAGTTCCATAGTTCGCTCTCTTCAAATCGTGAAGTGATCAGAACTATAAAATAATTGATGACATCCACCTTAGGAAATCAGAAGACTATTCTTCGAAAGAGAAATCACTGCGTGTGCTAGAGGAGAAAATAGGCGACCTTCAGAAGTCAATCGAAGATCTGCAGTCGTCTCTGGAACTGAGCAAAGCAAGCTTGGCTGAAAACGAGCAAACATTCAAAACTGAAAAGGTAAAGTTGTTATACTGATACTTTCAATGTCTTCAATTTTACTTAAATTTGAAGCATTGAGCCATGAATTTTAAAATATTTTTTAATAGAATTGTTAATTTCCTATTGTTATTAATCAAACCAGTCCATGGAAGAAAAGAGTGGAAAGCCAAAGCTAGTAAAAATCAAATGGACATAACATTGACTAACTCACCTAAAAATGCTTATGTGAAACTAACTTAGAAATGAGGTCTTATAAACTGACTAAGCATTTAAGTGAATTTTGGCGGATTTTGGCGGTTGGCGGACGCTTTCCTTCAGGGATTCGACCCCCTGCTGACCCAAAGGGGCCCCCTTTGGTACTTTTTAAGAAATCCAATTTCGGCAGATAGACCTTAAAATTTTTCTAAAGGCGCTTTTGGCGCCAATATATACTAATTTTGAGGAGCGCGCGCCAAAAAAACGCAATTTTTTGTCAAAAGTTTCCAAAAAAAGCCCAAAAACGGCTTTTTTGAACCTCTTTTTTTTCAAAAATTTGAAATTTGCCTGCGCCGCAGAAAGTTTGGCCAAAACAACATCTTTTTAGTGCTTTAGGAGAGCTCGAAAAATCAATTTGGTCGACCAAAAAAAAGTCGTCAAAATTTTTGAAAATTTTTTGAAAATCCGCCCCCCCCCCCTCGAGAAAATCCTAAATCCGCCCCTGCGAAAACCTGAAATTGAGTTTTGAGCTAACTGAATTTAAAAGCGTCGGAATTCTCATTAAAAAATTTAAACTAGTAGAGTTTTTCTAGAATGATTGGGAGTTATTACGATCAAGCCTTGAATCTTCTCTGCTGAAGCTGAAACAGGACCACGCCCAGCAACTGATAGTTGTGGAGGCCAATCTGAACAACGAGTGGAAAAACAAGCTAGAGTGAGTAGCCACAGCATAGACTCTACTTCTAAAACGACTTCATCCGTGACATATCTTGAGAAGTTCACGGAGCAAGGCTGAATGTTGACTGGATATGAAACCCCCTTCTATAGCTAAAATCCTATCAGTTTCCCAAAGTTGATGCTTCTGATGAAAACACTATCGCAAATAAAACTCATTTTTGTTTGCCTGTTTGTTGATCTAGGGCGGAGATGGCGCGTACTCGTGAGTTGATGTCAAGTGAGCAGTCGCGAAGTGTCTCGGAGGAGGTCAACAGAGTTCAGAGAGAGAAGGAGGAGGAGATTGAGAGACAGCGACAGCAGTTACAACACTCTATCAACACACTACAACAACAGGTGAGAACATTGGTGGGCTTTCATGGTGTGTGGGTGTGTGTATGTATACACATAAGTGTGTGTGTGGGGGGAGGGGAGGTTTTTGAAGTTTGGGTTTTTCGGACCACGCCGCCACGCATTTTAAGCACGTAAAAAAACTTATTTTTGTTTTTTTTTAAAATTGAAAAAAAGAAAGATTTTTTTGAAGATTGTTGATCTGGAGCAGAAACTGGCAGACTCCTTTCGCAACGCAAAGCAAGCCAAAGATAACTTGGAGGGGAAACTGAAAGCAGAGAAGGCCAACTTCGAAAAGGAGCTGCGTGAACAGAAAAACAAAGGGGCTGAATCAGTCAGTAGTTTGCAGAAGAAGTTGCAGCAGGAAATTTCAGATCAGATTGAAACTTCAAACCTACAATTGCAGGTTTGTAACTTACTCCGGATCTTGTTTACTAATTCCATGTTAATTCCATGTTAATACCAATCTAATTCATAGAACCATATCTTTAAACGAAGTTCCTGAAGGAGGATTCTTTAGAATGGTCGGACCACCTTTCCAAACGATAACTGTTTTTTTTGTCATCGTCTTTTCTTTTCCTCCTCTATTTCATAATCTAAGCTGGTGATGTTATATTCTAGTTGCTGGAGCAGAGGCTGAATGAGGAGCATCTGGTTGAGATGGAGAGACTAAAGAGTGAGATGGAGGAGAGAATGAAGAGTGGGGAGGAACAGGCGGCACAGAAACTCACACAACAGATGGAACTCATGCAGCAGACTCACCACATCAAAACAGGTGATGCGACGATCCATGCAACTCGCTACAACATTAGATTTTTATAATAGTTTTTTTGTTTTCATGTCGTGTTTGCGAGTTGAAATTTTTTCAGTCTAAGCCATTTTATTCCTTAAAGTTTCAATATTAACTATAAAGAGTATCAGTTTCGCAGCATGAAACTCGTCATTGGATAAAATGATGTTCCGTTATTATGTTATTGTCTTGAAATGTTGCTGCAAGTTAACGTGGATTTTTTTTGCGTCACAGAACAACTCAGAAATGAACTGATGTCAAAACACAAATCAGAATTGGACAAATTGACTGAGGGATTCAACAGTCAAATCAATCATCTCAAACAGGAGATCGCACAGATTAACACTCTCAGAGTGAAAATGGTCAGTTGGTTACCTTGTACAATATTATTCCCAAAACGATTATAAAATGAGCTTAGCGTTTTAACCAGAACTTTGGGTTGCGACCAGAGTGGCGTGCGCAGGAATTTTTTTGAGGGTAGAAACTTTTCAAAAAATCTTCGATAATTTTTGTTGACATTTTTTGCATGCTCTTGCTAAGCAGTGTAGAACACTTGAGTAATTGGCCAAAATTTCTGCTTATTTGTTTTAAAAGAGGAAAATGTAATAATAAAATGTAAAATTTGTCCAAGCAATTGCTTTTTTTGGAGCGTTCCATCCTCAATTTTAGTCTATTTTTTTATGCAGACCAATTTTAAAAACTCTGGTCACTCGCCGGATTGATCTTTGGAACTACAGTAGCCTTCCACGAGTCTCTTCGAACAGCTTGTTTGATAATTTACACGCGAGGCGAATCATCTCGCCCTACAAAGTTGCTCCAAATTGACTTGAGGGAGCTACTTGGCTTACTAATTCCATATACGACTCAAATTGTAACAATTAAATTGATATTATCAGCCTAAAATTCATATTTTTGCCAATACTTAATATACAAAAACTATTCGAGACCAATTGAACTGCAGTCGGAAAATTCAAGGATGTGCCATGATACCAGCAGTCTTGTTCTTTTATACAAGATTTTTTAGTTGATAAATTTCAAATGATATTAGATTTTTTTTTGAATTACTTCGACCAATACGACCAGTTGAACAGAACATGCTTTTGTTGGCCCAATACCTCGCATGTTTGTCTTAAGTTTTGATTTAGAGTATACTTTGCTGAAATGTTCGTCTCTTTTGCGTCAAAAATACTAGACGTCTTACAACAGTTTGTGTCCAACGGTGATCTGCAATTTTCTAATAGATAAAAAGTTAAAAAATGTTTTGGAAATAACTGTTCCGACTATCGCAAAAATTGACCGAATTTTTCAGCTTGGGTTGATTTTTATCCTTCAGACAAAATTCCAATTTTTAACTAGCCATTTTTGACAAAACTGATTTCTATCATCCGAAAAGTATTGTCTTGAGTTCAAATTTAAAAAGATATTTCACCTGTGATTCTTTCTTGTAAAGTTATGAGGGTGTAAATGTTGCCAATTTGGCCATTTTGGGACAATTAAAGCTCAATGTAGCCCGCGCTAATAACGCGTTAGTGAAGAATTATTCTGTCTTAGAAATTGATCTAAATTTGTTGAAGCAATCTGTTTGACATAAGTGCTACGTTACTAAAAGAAAATTCTATCAGATTGTACTTAATATGGTGTGTGGATTGAAGGTTTTCAAAAAAAATCATACGCCTTAAAAGTCAATCGTTCACTCGGGGCTAAGTCTTGTTTTTCAGTTAGTATCACTGAACAAAGTGAATAAAATTATCTGGTTCGTGTTTTTTTTTGTTTCTTTTTGTATCTTGTTCACGTTTGTATATCATTTTGAGTAGTAACGGTTTGATTTCTGTTTTGTTTTCAACTTCAATTCGACTTCTTTCTTAAGAAGAAGTTGAACTGCAAAAGTGTAAAGTAACAAAAAAACCTGTTCGATTTTGAAAGTGGATTTTTGTTTTTGGGTTTTGCCTAAAAATTCAGTTTTCTCAAATTGGATAATTTTTATCAAATAAATATCAATCTTTTGTTCCGACTATACGTACAGCCTAATTAAAATATTTTTTGCTCAAAAGTTTACAAAATAGTAAATAAAGTTTTTTTTTCAATTTTTCCCCAAATGCTAATGTGAACTACATAAAAGCGTATTTAATGTCGGTATGAATAATCAGATAAAATAATTTGCCTCATATTAATTTTGAACGCCCTATTACGCCGCTTACATTTATTATTAGAAAGCGCTACATCGCGCTTTAATTATCCCAAATTGGCCTAATTAGCACTTTTCAAACCCCTTTAATTTGCGAAAATGAATCACAGGTAAATTTATTTTTACATTTGAGCTCCGGATAAGAATATTTTTCAGATAATAAAAAAACGTTCCTTCAAAATTGTTTAGTTAAAAAGTAGAAAACTTACTGAATAAAAAAACCCGCTCTACATTGCGTTTTCTTCACAAGTCGAAACAGTAACGCGTGGAGCCGGTGGCGATTATATTTGATACAGGAATAATTACAAACTGAATTGATCATAGCTTATTGAAGCAAATATTGCGTTAATAGATACAAAAATCACTCTGAAACTATTTTTGTTTTGTGAGCTTTTTTTCAAGTAAAGGCTATCTCAGACTCGCTGCACGGCATTCGCAACATCAGGTGCATTGTTTTAACACGATCAGTCTGATTTTTCTAATTATTTTTCTCGTCATTTGTCAGGAAAAAGAGAACAATGTGAAGTTGGGTGGGATGAAGGAAGAACTGAGTCACCGGAACTCCATAATCTCCTCTCTGGAGGGCCAACTGAGTGAACAGAAGGAGAATATGTTGCGGATGGGAGCAGAGCTGGAGTTTAAGGACAAAGTGGTCCACAAAATACGCGCAGAGTCAGAGGAGAGTATCAGGTATAGGGTCTTTCTTCTGGCGAACTTCCAAAAATGTATATGGAGCATAGTTACCATCTATAATAGGCTATAATAAAGATTTTAAAATTTTTCAACCTTAAGTTAACGTTATCTTCTCAAAAAAAAAGCTAAATGTTTTGAACCTCCTTGAGCAATAGCGGTGATCCATATTTTCTGTGCTGCTTGCACACGAACTGGTAATTTTTGAATATTTACTTTCTGACCAGGAAGAAGCAGGCGGAGCTTGAGTCATCTTATAAATTGGAACTGGACAATCTACAGGCAGAGAAGTTGAGAGAACAGAGGCGACTGCTGGATGAGTTCTCCAGGACCAGAGAAGTGTTACAAGTAGAGATCAGAGACCTCAAGGCCAAGTGAGTGTGATTGTGGCTTTTACTCAACATAAAGTCGCAAACATTTGGAAATTCTAAAATGTAGACAAACTTTATGTAATTACAACCTGATTCATAAGACTTTGTTGTTTGGGCGCATTGATTGAAAAAATTTGAAATTTAAAACTTAAGGCTCTGATGGAAAACTCATGAACTTGAACAAAATAAAACTATGCGTAATACGGCAAGGCAACTTCAAATCAGATTTGACCCCGTTGTTTATATATTTTTTCACACGATGATGGATATCACTAATGATTAATACTTAACTTTTCTGCTGGCTCTCCTTGAAATATACCCATGAGTCAATTATAAAGGTTTTGGAAATTATGAGTCTGATAAAAAATCTCAGATTAAAGATTTCATAAAATTCCTCGTGAAAAGTAAAATATATTTCGTCATTAAATAGAGCAAAATTGTTTAAAGTCAGTCTTAATCAATTTGTCTAATTCTGTGTAGGTTGCGCGAGGCGGAGGAGCGTTTTGAGAGGAGGGAGAGTCGGCCGGAGGATATGCAGTTGATCAACCGACTGCAGCAGATGCTGGAGGGGGAGGAGGAGAAACTGAAGAGACTCGCTGTCAGTCATTATTCTCATTACCATCGTTTCTTACCCTTAATTGTTTTTATACTCTTTTTTCATTCTCTCAATTACTTTCCGATTTTGATATTTTGAAAAAACTATAAGACGAGCTAGATATTGATGTATTTTTACAAAAAATTCCTTAATTATAATTGAAGTAAAAACAATTTTTAGTTGAACTCACCCCCTCCACTCAGAGATTCGACCCCCGTACCAACCAAAGACTCCCCCTTTTGTATTATTTTATGCATCCATTTAAGGCCGACCAACCTTCAAATATTTCTTAAGGCGCCTTCGACTCCAATATACCCGCACTGGAGTTTCATGGGAAATAGTCGATTATAATGGATTATATCGCCAAAAAAATTAACCCATATAATCGATTTTCATGACCCATTCAAGCATGAAATTGAAATTTTAAGGTTAATTAAAATCTATTATTTTCAGTATCTAGAAAACCATTGCACTTGTTTATTTAGACTGTATGATTGATTTTTTAGGCAAATCCATGAAAATTGATTTTTTTTCTGCCAAAAATTGTTTGCGCTAATTAATTTCTTGAAAATGTTTAGCTGTGATCAAAATGTACTCTCAGGTACTCGCTCGTCTATTTTCAATAGGTCAGAAAATATATTTTGGTATCGATGGGCAGTAAAAATAGTAAATGGTTTTCCCAAATAAAAAAACATTTTTTTTCTAAATAAAAAAGAAATTTTTCTCACGTATATAATTCAAACCCACCATTAAAGTAGAATTCAAATCCAGTGATTTTACAAAATTTGCTTTGTTGGTGATCACCATTCGCCATACTAGCCCTCACTCCTGACCATTTACTTTAAAAAATAAAATTTCCAAGAAGCTGGTCTAAGTAAAAGGTACCTGTAAAAGCAGGTTCATATATTAAAAGAAGGTCCCAGAACATTAAAAAAGTGCCCCGGAGTGTCGTTGATTCATACTAGTTAATGTTAAGAAATAATAACTATTTTATTTTAAAGGCGTTAATAAAGAATTTGTTATTTCGGCTTGAGGTAATTAAAACTTTTTCGGTCTAATCTCTATCGGCTATATGGCCGCCGGTGCCCTGGACAGACGTTGACTCAACCTAGTTAATATTAGGAAAACTATTAAACTTCTATATATTATCATGTTTAGGCAGAGGTCACATTATTTGAAATTTTTGTTTTCGAAAATTTGTTTCGAGAAAAATGAATTGAAAAAATATTCTTAAAAAAGGAAAAAATTGATACCAAATGATTGGCACTCAACAAAACTAAATCAATGCTAAAATGAAACGGTGAAGTTTGTTGAATAATAATAGATAATAGTCAATTCAAAATGGATTATATTTCAACCAAAGTTTTGGAAAAACACTTTCGAAAATAATCGATTATAATGTAAAAAACTTTCGAAATGCTCATTTCAAAAGCGAAGAGGCAGATTTTTGAAGGGTTGCATTTGATTGGACATTGAAAACCCGATAGAAATTTCAGATTTTTCTGAGAGATGTTTATTTCTAATTGGTGCACTTCAATATGGCAAGTTTGTGGTTTGTCTTGTTTAGCAAGAGAAAGAGTTCTTCCAACGGGAACTGGTCAATAGGGAGACAAATTTCAACAAGGTGTTCAATTCCAGCCCCAATGTGGGAGTACTCAACCCACTTGCAGCAGCTGGAAAGGTAAGAGCAGGGCCGCAATATTAGGCGTGGGTAGGGGAGGTAATATTTGGGAGAGGTTTTGATAAAAATTGAGATGTTCAGAGTTTGGTACGATCTTGCGTTACTTGCACTTTGATTTTGCTTTGGTTGGCAATTTTTCGCCACTTAAACTTCCTGTTTAAGTTATCTGATCTCACCGTTAAAAAATTATGCAAATACACAAGTTTAAACACACAATATAAATACTGTGCATCATCAAATTTTGAGTAAGTTAGCCGAAATACTCAGTAAAGAGTAGATCTTTATTTATTATAGTTAACCTGAATGGCTGTACATGAAGTTAATCTAAAGCACTGGCATGAATATTATTTCTCAAGTCGTTTAAACAAAAACTCAAGGAAAAACTTTCGTTTAGTTTTTCTCGTACAATCGTTTTCTGTACTCTCACAAACAAAGCAAAATCTAGCTTGCATTTGTAATATTTCAAAAAGTGTGAAAAAAATGTTTATTTTAGGGAAAAGGAGGCGCGGTTCATAACTCAATATCTGGGAAAGGAAATCTGTTCACTGCTAACTCCATGACATCCTCAACCTCTAACCCCCCTTCTGGATATCACAATGGGTACACCGCGCACCAAAAGATGTCCACTCCCCCACCAGGGGGTAGATTAGAACCCCTATCCACTGTAAACACACAGCAGAATAACTACAGAACTCCAACACCTCCCAAAGTCCCAAAAAAGTTTCTCTAACATAATGCAATATATTTTTATGAAGCCTTGTTTTACCATTTAGTTTGCGACAGGGGAAACTTTATATGTTAGTAAGCTAAAAAAAACTATAGCTTTAAAAAAAACTGCTGAAAAAGATTTAAAAAGCACAGGGCAATTAGATTGCGAATTGAATGGTGTGAAATGTCCATAAATAGAGTTTTCAGTTGGGTTTTGCTCCGTTTTGGTTCGGATCGTTTAAGTTTTATTACCTCATGGAATCAAAATCATTAAGAGTCAGTCTCCATGGAATTGCAAAATAACGCAAGACCTCACGTAAAACAAACTTCAACCTCTTCAGGGATTCGACCCCATGCCGACCCAAAGATTCCCCCTTTCTACTATTTTAAGATATCCATTTTTGGCTGACTGACCCTAAAATTTTTCTAAAGGCGCCTTCAATGCCACAATATACTAATTTTAGGGCGAGCGCGCGCGAGTAGATTCCATAATGTGTAAGTGGAATCATCCGCAAATGTAAGCGGAATCCGCAATGTAAGCGAATTCCGCAAATTGCAAGTGGATTCAGAATTCTGTTTACTAATGAACAATTAAAAGCTAGAGCTGGAATCTTTATCTATAGCAATGCGGAATCCAAAGGCAAAGACTTAACCATTGTCAGCGGAATCCACGAATAAATCTCAAAACATTTGTTAAATAAATCGGTGAATATCACTTTTTAGTTTTTTGGGAATGCAACACCGATTAAATTTAATATTTGGAACTACTAAGTTGAGAATGTATGGAAATACGACACTCAGCAAACAGCTTATTGCCAATTTAGGTCAGTATTTGGGATTGCGTCAATCCCAAATACTGATTTCGAAAGCTTAACGCCGAATAAAATCAATACTTGTAGTCATTGGCTTGAGAGTGTCTTGAAACACAACACACAGCATATAGCCAATTTAGGTCACTATTTGGGATTGCGACAATCCTGAATACTGATTTCGAAAGCTTAACGCCGAATAAATTCAATACTTGTTGTCATTGGCTAGAGAGTGTTTGGAAACACAACGCACAGCATATCGCCGAATTAGGTCAGTATTTGGGATTGCACAAATCCCAAAAACTGGTCAGTTTTTGGGATTCCATCAACCCCAAAATTTGATGATCTAGTAGATTCCCAGTCTAGTTAATTGATATGGAAGATGAGATCGAAGTTGACAGAATTTGAGATTGAAGTTGGATTGACAGGAATTGAGACCAAACAATTGGTATTTCAACTAGTAGTTTATCAATGTAGTAAATGAGGTTCTTTCTTCCGGTGAGCAGGAATTAAAATATATAATTTTAACGCTATACTGCACTTATACTTCATTTACAAACTGAGGATTCCACTTACAATTTGTGGCTTTCGCATACAGTCGCGGAATCCGCAACAGCTCAATTAAACTATACAAATGTCCTATTACTTTTTCGTGACTAGAGCAAATAACATGCCTCAATTCCTTTTGAACCATTTTTCGGTTTAAAAGCACAGAAGATTTCAAAGCACAGAAGCTATCAATTTCAAGGCACAGAATTCTAAGCAAAAAAAATATCGCGCGTTAATTGGGTCTCAAAGTTTTTTTTTAAAATTCTATAATCGTTTTTTGTATACTGTTAATGTGAGCCAAGCAAATTTTAAATCGTATCTAGAATTCAAAAGATTGTAAAACTAATCATTTATATTTTTTCCAAAAGTAACCAAGAAGATAGCACTGTCTACTATGTCATCTTTTTCTGACCAGTAATCAAGTTCTTTTAAAAAATAGACTTAAGCCAGCTTTAAAAAAACATAAAATTAACAAAGAGTTTTGTGG